CCCCAAAACCCCAAAACCCCAAAACCCCTCAAATAAATATTCAGTATTATTCTCGAGAATAGAACAAGAATATTATATTAAAAGTGAAATAATAAGCCTTTAATTAGAAGTTAGGTTTTTAGGAATTAATTTATCTTTTTGAATAAAAAGTGATTCATTATCTTCCTCCATATATAAATCTTAATCTTCTTCCACCTTCTGTGCCGCCATTACCTCCATCAGTTGGTGTGGTCTCATTAGCTGGTGCAGTTTCATTTGCTGGAGCAGTCTCATTTCCAGAGGGCTCTACTGGAACAATTGGGACTCCAGTGATATTTGTTCCTGGAAGGAAGGCACCGTAGATTTGATTGACTTGGGCCACGTTTTCTGGATTGCCAAAAAGAAGTTCATTAGAAACTTGGAGCCATGTTCTTGCGTTAATTCCAGCAACATTAAGATTCTAAAGTGCAATCCAGAAAGCCATCTATGAGTATACTGGAGATGAGTCTAGGACAGCCCACACTTTGTAACCTTGCTGTTAAGCAATAATTGAATTGTAAACCAATGAGGCGTCAGCAGGAAGTCCAGCAAGGATAATACTTTTCTTGCCAGTTGCAGTAAGAGCATTCTAGAATTCGGCATTGTTGAATGCATATTCCCCAGCGTTGGACAGAGTTATTATCTGAGCATCAGTTAGATTTTGTTGGATTTATTGCCACACTGCACCGTATGTTTCATTATTTTGCACTCCAACAATTGATGAAATATTGAATGCTTTAACTAGGTTGATTAAAGCATTCAAGTTGTTCTACTGCTCTGCTGCCAAACCTTCGTGTGACTATAGTTGCTCGCCACTTCCTTCACTGCTCATTGATCCTTGCATGAAACCATCCTGGAAATTCAGAAGGACTAGAACTGCATCTGAGGCTTAAAGGAATTAAGTTGCATTGGCAGCTTAATCTTAGGTATATGCCCCGATAGATAGAAGCGAGAGTAGGACCAGTATTTTGATCATTGAGCTTTTAATAGGAATTTATTATACACTTAGAGGTGTATTCCTGGTTTTATACTTAAGCCGAGGTTAAAACGGGTAACAAATAAGGGGGCCTGGTTTTAAATTGATTATAATAATTATAAGATTATACTTCTAATTATATAAATTAATCAGTGAACTATTTTGGTTATAGTGCTATAATTATTAGTTAATTCATTGATTCTATAATTCTAGAATATTATTCGCTTCTCGGGGTTTTGGGGTTTTGGGGTTTTGGGG